TACAAAAAAATTAGGAATTTTGTAGAGGAACCTCATAAGGATGTTCATTTTTCAAATCCTGATTCTAATGAAATGGAAATTAATTAAAAACAATATTTTTTTTTAAAATAATAATAATAAAAATTGTAAGATTATCATTTCCTTTTTTGTCATTATACACTTTTCTATTAATTGAATGTTGACAAAAATTATGCCAAATTATAATCATCATTTCAAAGAATATAACAGCGTCAATAACTCATTTTGGGGTTCTTGAGCCCGAAGATCCTTTTTGCTAGCATAGAACCCACATAGTAAATTTGTTAAATTTGTGCAACTTTAAGGCTTAATTCTCCACAACAACATGACATATCAACAAAATGAAAATATCATTTTGTAGAAAAAGGTCTTAGCTTCAAAATGACATCATGTTTTTTTTTGGTCACACATTTCCATTGCAAGACTAATAAAAGTTGTAGGGACTAGGTGTCCTGCAATATGCACAATTATTTATTGGGGTGTGAGATGCCCTAATTAAATTAAAATTAATTGATGTAACATAATGTCAATCAATAACAAAATTTTTTTAAAAAAAATAAGAATATATATAAATAAAAATTGTATCAGAGCCTTCAACTAAAGAGATACAAACATGAAACCAAGGGAAATTATAGAAAATATATAAAGCTTTTAAGCTATAGAGTTTTTTTTCTGAAAAAAAATTTTTTTATATGTTCTAAAGAAATTGAAAAAGATTACTAATAGAAAAACTTTGTAATCAAATGAAATAGGGGAAAAAACTCTCTGTATATTTATTATAGAAGACTTAAACAATAAAACTATAAAAAATTTTTGTTTTAATTTTATTATGAAAAAAAAAGTTATCATGGTTTAAAGTTATTTGATTTATTATTAAATTTTACCATAAAAATTTACATTGTAACTGATAAATTAATAGAAATTTCTTTTTATAATTCATGTTTTCAAAAAAATATATTGGTAGTTGAATTTTGTTGTCAACATTTACAATGTGTTGAAATATATATATATAAAGATACTAAAAAAATCCGCACATAATAATTTGTTATATTGATGTAACCAACAGCCATCAAACACCACAATTATTTATTTATTTTTTGACAGATGACAAAATGCGAGTGATGTTATTTGGCATGGTTCTGAAGACATGTTAATAACTAACCAGAGGTAACTTTTTTTTATTTGCTTTTATTTTATATAATGTATATTATTGAAATTTTGTTCCTTTTGTGTTAATGATTGAATCAATCACATGGGTGGTAGTCAATTTAAATGGCATTCATTTTTTTAAATGAAATGATATTATAAAATTTTTTTAAAAGATGTTTTTTTAATAATAATAATGATTTTTAATTTTAACACTACCTCCTTTGGACTACAAAAGGCAAGAATATCTTTATCATAATATTTGCCCATTTGTCAGAGATGAATTTAAAGATATTACTTGCCCAAGACCAATCTATACCAGCAATGAATAAAATATTTAGGGTAAAATTACTTTTAATGACTTCATCACTTGTTAATTTATCCCTCATTGTCATTAAATTTAATAAGTTTTAATCTTTTGACAAATATTACTAGCTTTTTCCACTTTTAAAATAGAAAAGTACTAAAATAATTTATATACTTAATATATCATCATAAAAGGATATAAGTATAGTATATTAAAAGAATAAATAAAAAAAAACATGGTAAACACAATAAATGAATTCCAAGAGAGAAATAAACAACTATTAGAAGAAAATGAAAATTTAAAAAAGCAATTAGCAGATAAAGAACAAGAATTTAAATTAAGAATTCATAACATAGTTGAAAATGTTAAAGAAAGTGAAAGCCCAGAAATTGCTGGAACTTTAATGACCTTAGAACAACACTTTTTACCCAAAGATGAATTAACCCCTGAAAGCTTTGTTAAGGGTTGTGCTGAATGAACATTACTTAGTTGCAATAGTCTTAGTTATGTTTCTGGAAAAAATGATGAACTAAAAGAAAAGGTTTCTGAATTAGAACCAAAGGTTGTAGAATTAGAAACCCAAATAAAAAAACTAGAAACAAAGTTAGAAAAAAAAGGTAACAAAATAGAAGAACTGAAAGAAAGAGTAGAGATAGAACAAGAGGAAGCTGAAAAAGCTGTTCAAAAAGCAAAAGAATGACAAGAATGACAATTAGCAGATTTAACAGGAATAAAACAAGATGGTATTGTTAAGAGTTTGGAAGAAAAAAGAGAAGAAATGTTTATGGAGTTGAAAAATAAAGATGAGGAATTGGAACTTGTTTCAGCAGATCTAGAAGATGCTCTTTACGAAAATGGAACACTAAAAGAAGAAAACGAGAAATTAAAACAAGAATTAGCGGAAAATTCAAAAGATTTAGAAGATATTAAGTTAGAAAATGGAGAACAAAAATCAGAAATTAGTCAGTTAAAAGGAAAATTGTATTATTCATTTGATAAGCCTTTACCCAAAATAAAACCTTTACCTTCCTTATCTAAAAAACGGAATGCTTTCCAAAAATTAGGCACAAAGATTAAAACTAAACTCCAGAAACTTCAACAATTGACAGAAAAGAAGAAACATCAAACTCAAGAGTTTATTGCACGAGTAGAAGTGAAGACAAACAAATAGTTCATGAGAGAATTAACTTATACACTTCTAGAATTACAAAAAGAATTTAGAAATACCACTTGTGATTTTTGCTCTAGCAGAGATAATAAATCTGTTAACCAAATAAGAAGTCGTGTTAAAGTTAACAATAAGTATGTTGGTGTTAGTGTGGTTTGCGAAGAATGTAAAGAAAAATTTGAAAATGACGAGTTAGCAAAATGCGGTAGATGCAGTAGATTACAAACCATTTTAGATATTAGTTCTGGTTGTTGTTGTATTAGGCATAAAGAAAATATAGAAGAAAAAGAACTTCCAAATTTACCTAATGGAAGGGAAAGTGCTTTTACTTTTTATGAAAGACAAATAAACTCTTTGTGAGAAGAACTAATCACTACTGAGGAAGCACTTGAAATTGAAAGAGAAGAAGTAGTCAAATTTCAAGAAAAATCTGAAGAGTGGAGTAAAAAACAGAAACAGGAGTTATTGGATAAAGTAAAGGGTTTAGAAGAAAAAATTAAGCAACTAGAAGAGGAAAACAAGTCATTAAAAGATCAACAGAATGGTCAATTAATTGCTCAAATTGAAGTCAAAGAGACTAAAAGATGATCTTGATTGAAAATAAAAAAGTAATTGAGGAAATTTCCCTCTGTATAATTCTAACTATCAAAGAAAGTGGTATTATTTTCCTTTTAAAGATTTTTAGGTAACAATGCATCATCAGGATGCTTCCTTTTTCCAACATTTATTATTTTTCTTTCTTGGTAAATTTCATAGGTAATCTTTTCTTTTCTTAGATAAGCTTCAAGCATCTGAGTATCACTTATTTTGAAAATGTAAGGAGCAATTTTTTTGCCTTGTTCCTTTTCTAATGGTGCTATAATTCTTGGGTTCCATAGTAGACCTGATATAAATGAGTTTCATATTAACTGTTTTTATCTAGAAAAATATCATCATAATCACATTACATTGTAATACAATCATGATGTTAACAAACAATATGAATCCCTGAAATTCTTAGTAATACCAATGTTCACTTTGTCTGGTTTTGTTGCAGCATACCCCATTTTATATTTTCTAGAACGAATAATAAAACAAATACTTCAGATAATAATAATAACATAATAATGATTCAAATAAGAAATTGTATTAGAAACAAAAAGTAAAATTTTAATCTTAATCTAAAAATTTTATACATATTCATACTTGTATAGTGCACGTCACAATAACCCATCAAATAAAAATTGACCAACTTTAAAGCCTAAAAAGAAAATATTGTGTGCTTATCAAAAAATTAATTGAGACGATATTTGATAGCTTTTGACTAGTTCTACAATCTATTGTTGAGACAATTAAAAAATAATTATCGGTTCATGAGTTATAAGCTTTTGAAAATCATGTAATTTTTATATGTTATATGGGCATACTGCAACAAAACCAGACAAAGTGAACATTGATATCATCAAGAATTTCAGGGTTCAAAAATTTGGCTATTCTTAAGTGATATATAAAACTATCCCTATATAAAAATAGTTAATATGAAGTTAATTTATATTAGGTCTACCATGGAACCCAAGAATTACAGTACTATCAGAAGTATTTTGAAAAAGGAACAAGATGAGAAAATTGCTCCTTACATTTTCAAAATAAATGATACTCAGACACTTGAAGCTTATCTAAGGAAAGAAAAGATTGCTTATGAAATTTACCAAGAAGAAAGAAAAATCATAATGTTAGAAAAAGAAAGCAGAATGAAGTTGTACTATTACCCAACAAAAAACAGAAATCCTTAGAAGGAAAATAGTATGAAATGAATCTTATTATTACATACTTATCTATTTTTTTCACTAACTATTACTACAAAGAAAATTCTCCTATGCAAAATGTAATTAATGATTATCACATTAATAAAAAAACATTGTTGTTTGAGCGAATTTTACATTCAAAAATTTGTTTTATAAATTTTTGTTTTTCTCTCATTGAGATTAAAACAAGGTAAATAATCCTGAATAATGTTGAAACATTATAAAAAATTACCAATTCACTTAGTTTCCAGGTAAACAATCAAATAATTAATAAATATTATTTACACAGTATTTTCATCCATAATAACATTTTAAAAAAAATGCTTACCTTCAAAAATCAACCCTATATTATAAATCAAAAAATTGATCAAATAATTAATAAAATAGAACCAAGAAAAATCCAATTCAAAAATAAAATAAACAAACTTATTAGATCCGAGTATTTTTCACCCGTGCAAGTGCTTTGACAATTATTTAACTTATATTTTTATATGTATTTTTCTATGATTAGTTGAATTAAAATAAAAAATAATTTTTCTTTTGTCATTTAATTCATAAACAAGATCATATTAGATCTAGTTTTTTTTTTTGGAAAGAAAACAAATAAAATTAATAATTTATAATGAAATAACAAAATGATAATGATGATAACGATTTTCTCTTAATCATATAAAAAAAAAGGGTATAACTCCGGCCAGAACGAATACTTGATAGTGTTGGCTGAGAATCAAAAAATTCCATATTATTGCTTCTCGAAATCTCAGCGACTTACACATAAAAGTTTTCAAGAAAACATTCCAAGCCCTTTAATGCTTTGACGTAATAATCTGAAATTTACTTTATATATACATAAAAGAATACAAAAACATTGTGCTTTATTATTTGTTAAACATTGTCAATTGGCAGACGATTTTTTAAAATTCTAATATTGTTAAATCTTTACAAAATATCTACATTAGCAGAATAATCCAAATAAGGAATCCATAAATGATTTTTTTTCCTGAATTGAAAAACCGAACCGAAAATTTACAGTTTGAGCCAATTGAGCCAAACCATTCAGAGCCTTAATAAATACTAATTCACATCATTTGTATTTTCACCAGTAATATTATTGTCATTTATAGCATTCACATAAGATAGAAACAGAGATTCGAAAAAATTTTGTTTTATGTTTTATTGCAATTTACTATTAAATTTAATCAGATGCATCAATCAATAATCACATGAATCAATATATAAAACATTGTGAAAAAAAACAAACAAGACGTCTCAGGTAGCTTCTTTTCCTTTACAATGAATAGGACATCCTCTTTCCCGGTAATTCCTCTTCATCGTAAAAATTATAATCCACACTAAGTGGAGGAGAAGAAGATAGTGATCTTAGTGTTTGTGGGGAAGGAAGTAATGGTGATAGTGATGACGATGTCTATAAATACAAGTAAAAAAAATTAAATACAATAATAATAATTTTTGTTAATATTTAGTTTATACTTACATATTTGCGTTTTTGTCACGAAGGTTATATCCTTGTACTAAGGTGATGTTTTTCTTTTTTTAGTAACTTCTTGTTTATCAACATCATTATCAACTTCTGGATTGTCGTTACTAAAAATAATAATAGTATAAGTCTATGTTATTAATTATAATAATAAAATTACATTAGCCAATGTAGTAGTAGTAATAGTGGTAGTTTCAATGGGTTCCAAGCTGCTACTCTGAATAATATCATTTACATCATTGTAATTATTCTTTTGTTGTATAAAATAAAGAACATGAATTTTACAAAACATCAAAACAAATAAACTAATAAATGGAAAAGTTTGCTAAAAACCTACTGATTCGTTATTATTATCAATATTATTATTATAGATGCTGGTCACAATTCTTGATGATGGTTGCAACCATATTTGCGACATATAAAAATGGTTTGCGACACCTGGTTGCAACCACCTTTGCGACCACTTTAGTTTCCTTTTTTGGAACACTAATTATTATCAATATCGTCATTAACCTTCGTAAATTGAAAAAAAATAACATAAATAAAAAATGTAAAATTAACAATTTATAAGTAGAAATCTTGACAGATCCTACCTCTTCGTTGTTATTGTATTTTAAATCAACATAATTATGTATGAGTTCCGGATGCTCTATTTATAAAATTAGTTAAATTTGCCAATATATCTTCATCTTCAAGTATTTCTCTCACTTCATTCATAGATACGTTATGATTAATACTCAGTTTATTGATAATTTCTTCTACAATTTCTTCCTAATTTTCATTATATTACAAAAAAAAAAAAAAATCAAACCCTCATTAAAATGAAACAACTAGTATTGTCATTTGAAGAGAATACAATTCACTTACGAAGTTGGTATATCTATCTCTTCTGGTATGGAAATTAATGTGATAAGGAAATTTTTGTTAGAGTCACGACCACCACTTTTAAAAAACTTACTCGCTACTTTCGATAAGATCAGCTTTTTTACTTTGTTTTTCAAAAGGTATTTTTTTCTTCCTAAAAAAAATTTTTTTAAAAAAAGAACTAGACTGAAGGTAATCACCATTCTTTTTTAAATAAAGACACTTACCCCTTGATATCAACACTTCTTGCTTTTGTTCTATTTTTTATTGGGAAAGACATTTTTGAATTTTAAAGTTTTTTTAACTAGAGTGACGACGAGTGGCGATAACCACCACTCTTAAAACACTCATCCATTTACTGCACCAGCATTATTGCCTTTGCTTCTTTTTTTTAACAATGAGGATTGTGACATTTTTTGTTTAAAAAAAGAAAATTAATTATTTGATCAACGCGTAATATTAAACACGTAATTAATATTAGTAATTGCAAATTTCCCCTCTCGTGTGATTTCGGATTTTCGGGTAATTCCTCGATAAATAGGTAATAAATTCAAAAAATAAAAAATAAAAAGCATATTTTCAATTTCTTCAGTTCCAAAAAATGGATCACCAATTGATTTATATAGTGTCGAGGTACTAAGGAAAACAGTTCTATTTACGTGTTTATATATTTTATAACAATAAAAAAAAACTTTTTTTTGTATATAAATATAACCAGGAAGAAGGGGATGAGACAGATTCTGACGAGGTACTTGTTGGTTCATAATTTATTTATTATCATTTGTAATTCCCCGTTTCACTGTGTCACCAATCAGGATTTTCGTGTATATAAATCACGCGATATAATTCATCCATAAAATTAAACAAAAAATCTTAAAAAATTTCACGCGTTTTTTTTTATAATAATAATTGCATTGAATTTGTGAATATAAAATAATTCCATTAAAGTTTTTTGTTTGAAGTTTCTCTTGAATGACCTTTGACTTGTTGTGCTAGACATATCTTAGCAACCCAAGATGATTTTAAAAACCAAAAACCCTTACTTCAAGAATTAATTGAAGAAAGAACATAAAGTCATCTTCTATCCAAAGTTTCACTGTGAGCTGAACTACATTGAAATGTATTTGGGGCTGCTAAATGATATGTTAGACAACATTTTAATTACACATGGAAAAGTCCTCAAGAGAATGTCCCCAATGCTTTTGATTCTATATCACTGAAACAAAATTAGTAAGTATGTGGTGAGAGCCTCAAGATTTAAGGATTGTTACAGGAAAGGATTAACAGTACTACAGGCCGAATATATTGTAAAAAAATATAAGTCATATAAAAGGACTCTAGACAATGTGATAGATGAAATAGATGAATTAAACTAATAATATTTTTATTTTTGATCGACATCTTTAATCGTACCATGTTACCTCAAATTTTTTTAACATCAAATTTGTAATGAAAGTAATAAAATTTTTTTTTTGTGATTTTGAAACATTTTGCGCAGCATTTGATGGGTTATAGCGGCGTGCACCGTTAAATTTTTTTTTAGTGCATTGTACGAACATATCATGTGATTTAAGCCAATTTTTATTGGTTGATCAAATGTAATATGGGGGACATGCTGTAACAAAGCCAGACAAAGCGAACATTTGGTATTACCAGAATTTCAGGGATCAAAATTTAGTAGTGTGATTATTATTATAGGACTTTACAAAGTAATATTTTATCAACGCAGAAAATCGTTGTTCTTGATACATCGTACGTACAAAGATTCTTCTCGTACAGTGAAATTCCACAACCCTGCTCTAAAATTTTATCGGAATGCTCGGAATTTTATAATAGTAATAGGATTTCGCATTCTGCTTGTACATAATGTAAAAAAGAAATATACAAAACCTATTAAATCAACAAAGCCTATTGCTATACTAAAGAAAATTATTCTCTGTATCTGTACCAACTAATAGTATTAAAGAAAATTGTCTTGACCGACTGGGATCCTCTTCTAATCAAAGGTATAAACGGTATGCAAAATACAATCTATCGTCCGATGTCTCTCTTGTATCCAGTTCCAAAATACAAGAAACTGGTCGCGTTCTCTGGAGTTTTGTTGTGTGGTATTAAAATTCATGAACTTAATCCTCGTAAGGATCCTCTTCGTATGATAATTCATCCGGAATTTCTTCAAACAATGGTTCGTTTACCGGAACAATAACTTCTTCTCTAGTTCATTTATCACGATCTTCTTTCAAACGTCCTTGCTTTTTACAATAGCTACAATGAAGTTGGCTTTGAAATATCGATTCAATTTCTTTTTGGCTAGCCCTTGAATCATGCAACTTCTTTTTATATGTCCTTTGATCCAGCAGAAATAGCAAGTCTTGTTTTGACGAGGATACTTAGTTGGTTCCTCTGGTTGGTAATATAATTTGAAGAGCTGATTAGGATTTCCGTAGAAATATATAAATACAATGAATTACTTGAGGGTCTTTGATATCTTCTTTAAGGATTTCTGACTTAATATATTCTAGGCTTGGTTATGTTGATTGCATTTACAAATTTTCAATATAAAAGTGAAATAGATTTAACCACGTAAGGTATATAAGAATATGATAAAATAATAATAATAAAATAAAATTAAATGTTAATTTGATTTCTGTTTATTAAATCATTTGTGAAAACCTACATCATTATCATAATGTCATCATCCTCCGAAGATACCCAAAACCACAAAGAAGTCCATCCCCAGAACTAGCCTACTATCTAAAAAATTTGAATGAAAAAGATTATAGCTGCTCCCAAATTACTGCGTATGAACCAAGCACTGCGATGTAAACTTTCTACAAGAAATTTGGCACCAAAGTATCCATATGACAGTTTTAAACTGTTTGGCAAGTTTGGGTTACGAAAATAATTTGACTTTAAAGGCATCTATGCTCACTGTTGCTCACAAAGAAGCTTATGTTAGTTGGTCAATTAGACACCTCAATGACAATCGAGAGACCACTTTATTTCTGATGAAATTTCCTTTCAGTTATTAGATATACAATGTCTCAATGGTACAAGGGTGAAAGGTCAGTCCGAAAGACTCCTAAAATCGCGCTAAAATATTTGCATGGAGAGGATTTTGCGCACGAAGAGAAACCTCTTCAACTAAATTATGAATGCAGATTTTTATCTTGATATTTTGCAAAATCACAAGCAAGAGGGGGTCAATATATTGCTTAAACAAATTGGCGTTCCCAGCAAGACAATGACCCGAAACACACAAGTAGAGTTTGTCAACTTTTCTCAGCTAAAACTTTCCTGAAGTTATGAACTGACCTTCCAATAGTTCAGACTTAAATTCAAATGAAAATATTTCGGCTATTGTTAAAAGAAATGTAGAAATGCGTATGTCTTCAGAATTAGAGCAATATATGACAGAAGAATGGGGCAAAATTCCGAATAATGTTCTAATTAACTGTGTCAGTTCCAATTTACTGAAAAGAACGGCGAAGGAATTATTAACTTTGTATCATGAAAACTTCAGACTTTAAGCTTTATTTGATAATTTTTATTAGTTTTTAGTAATGAATAAAAAATTCTAAAAAATTTCCCGCCGTATTTATATATGAAATAACATTTTTGCATCTATAATTAACAAATTTCAAAATGGATTTTCTATACGTTTTGACCAGTCAAAACCCGATTATTATTATGATGATTATGATGATTAAGATGACTATGATGATTATGATGATTAAGATGATTATGATAATTATGATTATTATGATGATTATGATTATTATGATTATTATGATTATTATGATTATTATGATTATTATGATAATGATGTTTTGTCGCTTGGACATTGTTGGTATGATTGTGGTTAAATCCCAATACAGCATTGTTAGTACTAATGGTATTTCTTTTAGGAGATTTAGGAGGTAATTTAGGAGATTTTGGTGGGTTGGATTTTATGGATGATAATGATTCGGTTGAACTAGAAGATTCTATTGAGTCATATATTCTATGGTTTCTATTATTTTGGTATTTTGATACTTTTCTGGTGATTATTGGAGAAGGTGATGACGATGGTGTTGATACTGGATTTGATTTATTATGATTAGGTATTTGCAAATATGAATTATTATTGTCATTCTCGTTGTTATCCTTGTTGCTGATTTCGTTGTTTGTAATTTTATTATTACGCTTAACAATGGGAGAATTATTTTCATCATTTACTACTACTACTACTTCTGATTTTGATTCATATAACCAATCAGGAAGATTAACAGACTTTTTCTCATAATATTCTCTCAAAATTCGAGAAACATGTGTTTCGCCTTCCCAATCTTCTTTTTCTGATTCTATTTAGTTTTTTTGAAAAGTTAGTTAGTAAACAATATTGCATTATAATTGATTAATGATCAAATATTGCAATATAAATTTACCGTTATCCGAATCTTCATTGATGTTATGCTTGGTAGAATTTAAAAATCCGGTCATTAAATTTGAATTTCCTTAATTAATAAATAAAAAAACTTTAGTATCCATAATATTTATCCATCATATAATTTTTGATAATTATTTATAAAATAATTGACTTACCCACATCATTGATGTAGTTAGTGTTATTGTTTGTTGTGTTTGTGGTTGTGGTTGTAATTATATTAGTAGCAGCACCTTGAATCGCTTTAAGCTTTCCCCAGATACCTTCATCATTACTATTTTGTATATCAAATCCTTGTAAAGTATGCGGGTCTAATTGACCACATTTGTGTCTGGCAGGATAGAGTCCAGCATCCTGACCACAATCCTTACATAAAATCACAATTCTAGAAACTCTATAGTCTATAGCTTCAGCAACCATTTTTTTGAATTTATTATTATGTGAAAAATAAATAAAACGATTAAAAAAATTAAAAAATAAAGAAAGTTAAAAAAAATGTCGACAATAAAGAAAAATTGTCTTTATAGATGTTAAATTAAATATAATTAACATTAATAAAATTTTGTTGGTCCAAATTAATTATTATGAAACTTGGCTTAATTTGTGTTATTGATCATTCTTTCTATTACTATAAAAGCAACAAAGTTAAATTCGTGTCCCACCAAGAATGTTAAAATTGGTATATAGCAAAAGCATATTTTTCATAAAAAAAAATGATCGATTTATAATTTTATAATGATCATCTCAAAACTCTGCAATCCATTACTTCTAATCTTTTATGTTCTTTTAAAGCTACTTTGAATCTTCAATTAAGAATAATCGAAATTTAGAACATATATAACTTACTTAACCTTCTGCAAACTAGAGAGAGATGTTATATACCATTTGGGGCTAAAGGTTCTCGTGTAACAAATAATAGTTCTAAAATTGGCATCAATATTGGATTTTTATAATCAACCAACAGTATACATTTTTTCTTCATGATAATAAATAATAATACATAATGCATAAATAAATGTAGAAAAGATATTTATCTATACATACAATATATAATCAATCCTTTTTGTTCAATTAGAACACTTTTAACACTTTTGTGATCGGAAGTTAACAGTAGGGTTTAATTGTCCGTTTGGTTATCAGAATTCTGAGGTTTTGAGTATTTGCTTTGGTATAAATCAAAGGTTTGGTTTTGGTTTTTGTTATGCGCAAACATTTTTTGTTTAACTTTTTGTAGACGGGTTTAATTGTTTAAGTGTAAACGTAAGGTGTTAAGACTGATTGGCAAAAGTATTAAGCGTTAACAGTTATTGCTGATCGATAACCTATACAAAGAGCTAACAGTTATATCGTGATCACATAATGCATTGTGTTAAAGTAATTGTTGTAGACGTACGACTGACTTTAATCGGCCAAAGAAAAGTAAAATTAAAGTAAATAAAATAGGAACTCTATAAGAGTCTTTGTTGCTTTTATTATAATTCGTTGTTATTTGTACCATAAATTGTACTTACAGATTCACCAAAGCTTTCTAGGTACAAGAAAGAATCAGCAAGCAGGATAAATTTGTAAAACAAATCGATTGGCGAGCATTGTATATAAAAGCTTGCAATTAATCGACGAGTGTGGCTAATAATCGAGGTTGGCCAAAAAGCTTAGGACTTTTTCGGGACTTTAAGTCCGATCCGATCCCAAGATAGGATTAACATCTCTCCTGCAAACATGTTTTGATGTAGAGTCAATCCTGGGTCTTATGAACAGTTAGAGCGAGTGCGTTCTGGAGAGGAATGTGTTGTCTTGATTATTAATCAACCAACAATAAATAAATAAAATCTTTTTTTTAAATCAAAATTTTTTAAAACGCATCCGCGGCCAATTTTAAAAAATCAGATGCCGAAAACCGTCATTTTTGACGCTGAAAAAATCAGTCCACGTTCACCTGTTGTGTATTTAACAAAATTGTAGAAGATTTTATTTATTCATTCATTCATTCATTGATTTTAATAGGTTGGAATGTAGTGGAAATTCAATAATATCCATAATTTAAGTTAAAGTGCTTGACTGGATAGCTGATGCTATTTCATGCATAGTCTAGCATGAAATTTTAATTGAACTATTGATTAAATACTTTATCACCTGAGTTATGATTGAATTTCATAAAAAAATGCATAATTTTATTTTTTTTGTAATTACAAATAGACTCAATAAAGCCATCGAATCTTTTGCCTGTTATAAGAAATAGTAATAAGTAGAAATATGTAACAAAAAAATAGTTATAATTTATTGAATATTTAATTCGATTTTCTTGTAATTTATTTCGTCGCTTAAATAAGGAATAATAACATCATTTTGTAAATACTCGATAGAAAATTGCATCTAATTAAAAAAGATTACATATAAATATTAATGTTATCACATAAATATTAATATAATAAATATATCTATAATAATAATAATCGTCTTACATGTTGACCTTCGCAATCTTTAAATATTAACTTATTATTTTCATTCAATTCCTTTAACCCTATCCAGTCTTCTTTATATAAAGGTTGATCTATAAGATCTATCATTTCACCAGTCTCGTTATAAAACGAAAACCACTAAAAATAAAACAATCAGTTCATATTAATTATTAATATGAACTAATTCATTGATATTTTATTTATTTATTTTATACATACAGCAGTATCCTTTGGTTTAAGTGTAATGTCTTCGGTGAAACGTATTAATATCAATTTATTCAATGATGCTAAATTCTTTTTATAAGTTTGATTCTTTTCATTTAATTCATTATTAATATCGGGCAAGTAAATATTTTGTTTCAAATATAACTCAAGTCTGCTTGAATCTTTGTAATATTGTGCTTGTACAATGTGACTTCTAACATACGAATTATACGCTCCACTACGTACAAGCGATCTCATCAAATTACACCAAAAACTTCCATCTCCCATACATCCTGGAATATCTGACACTCCTAAAAATAATAAAGATATTTAATAATTATGTTATTGAATCATTATGATTATTGTATTATTATTTCTTACCTCCATGTGGTGCACCAAAAGTAACTAAATTATGAACTGGTGGATCATTACAACGTTCGACATATCCACTATATAATAATGATAACTTATTTATATTTAATATATATGTGAAAAAATAACGAAATGATAAAACTTATTCATTTTACCGAAGAAACAATCCACCCTGAAATATTTTATCAAATTAATTAATTAATATAAATAGTTGTATAAAATAAGTCGATTACATGTTAGTTTGTTTATTACCTGAGAAAATCCAATTGCATTGAATCCATGTTTAAGATTTTCATCATTTTTTAATTTTTCGCATACGCTTAAAATCTTAAAAGATTTAAGTAAATGTTAGAAATAGTTTTACTGTTATTTAATGTTATTTTAATATTATTTACCTGGTCATTAACATTACCAAAAAAACCTGCTTTTTTATCTTCACTTTCTTGATCACCCAACATAATTGAATGGACATAAACACCTGGTAATGCTTCATGAATTATCTCAATTACTTTACCGATACTTTCAGGATTACAACAAGTGTCTCCCATTCCATGCCAAATAACAATTGGTCTATACTTTGATACTGGTGTAGCTTCAACATTATTGTTGTTGCTGTTACTACATATGAATTCAATAAATAAATAAAGGGCTAACAGAATGAATTTCATTTTTCCTTATTATTAAACGATAATAATGATAAACATTTTAGTCACAGGACATGTCACATCAATTGATTTTCTATATGTGAAAATAAACTCGAAATTCGTGTCACATGAAGTTTTTTTAAAATATCTCGTTATTTTTATAATAAACTCGAACTTTGTTGTTAGAGTAAAATGAAAGTACTCCATTAAAGCTTTCTAATG